GATGCCTAAAATGAGCTGGTTTTTTCTCTGGTGCCGCGAAGCGATGCGCGATTGCGATGACAACGAAGCATCGCGGTGGAACGTTTTCGTCGTCCCGGTCGAGAGGATCGGGCTAATATCGCAGACAGAGAAGGGACGATCGGGTTGAGAGTGTCTTAAGTGGCCAGCGATCGATCAACCCCGCCGAAAAATTCCCTTCCCGGCGCTCCGCATAAACCAAGGGATCGGAATTCAGCGCGAGGATTCACCGATTATTTGTGTCCCCCGCGCGTCCTCACGACGGAAGTTTCTCGCTTGTGTTTCTGCAAGCTCTCCGGAGATAACCGGAGTGCTATTTGCTCGCAGATAGCGTTTCGCGCTTCCTGAACTTTGACCGGAGAACCGCGGCGGATCCGGCAGGACCGGCACAACTACGACCGATAGCGCGAGTCGCAGTTTTTGTGTTTTGTTTCGCTGCAGTGCTCTAATCGCGTAGCTCTCTGCGGAAGTTATTATTGCAGGTCCTTAATCCCTTGCCATACTTTGACGAGTCCGACTCGTAAAAATTTCTAGTAATAACTGATTGAATATAAATTATTATTCTGTCCTTTAAAAGTGGAATAAAATACAAATCCCTTATCATCAATATTTAAGCATTCGAGTAAATTTAGGCGCACTATAAGCATCAATTTTTCTTTCTCTTCTAAGAAATGATTGTAATCGAAAAATTTCTAATCGCAGTGACTGCGAGGAAAATGGTATGTCAAGGGGTTAAGTATGAAATGTCCGATTACCTAAAGCATCAAGTTTGATATCCGATGTGTCCGATATTTCACTTCGACCGTCCTTTGTTTTCTTTTTTTTTTAGTTCGAAGGGATACGTTATCTGGCTTCCAAACGCACTTTTTTGTTGTTAATAGTCTTTCGTATTGTTGTCTGAGCGTTAAATATTGTAAGCCATGGATAAGTGAAAAATTCGCGTTATTTTCGAATATGAGTTCCATCGTGGAACTGACGCAGTGCAGACAAGTCGAAATGTTAACGAGGTGCATGTATTAGCATGAAGCTAATGAACGTACGGTACGTCGATGCTTTGAAAAATTCCGATCTGGTGATATTGATATCTAAAATGAACCACGCGAGCTGAAAGCAAGGCCCGAGATGTAATGAAACTTTCAATCTCAAAATCGGACATTTCATACTTAATCACCTAATACTTAAATTGCCTAGAATTTCATGTTAATTAGTTGTATCATTTTGTACATTTTACTGCTTAAAATTTATTCAGGGGACATTTTGTCTGTTTTTGTATTTACTGATTTCCGAAGGGATCATATTGAGAAAATAATTGTCTTTCAGAAAATAGGAAATTTTCTGAATGCACAAAATTAGCAGTTTACAATTTGGTCGCATTTGATTACTTCTTCGCGCTCGGCAATAAATCAGGCCGTAAGTCGGTTGTTATTATTTGCCCGTATTTGACGATAAATTAGGGGCAAACCTATCGATTATTTGTACGTATTCGACGATAAATTAGAACGTAAGTCCGCTGACATTATTCTCTTGTCTCCGAAAATCAGAGATTCTGCGATCGCACGAAATTCGCGGTTTATCGATAAGAGCGATAACGAAGAAGAGAGGATGCTGCCGCAGTTGGCTTAAGATTTCACAGACTGTTCTAGGATTAATGCAATTTTCACAACGACTTGCTCGCACGGTGAAAATCAATATTCCGTGTTCTTAATACTTTGATTCTACGCAAGGATTATGGTAGTTTTGCCGCAGGAAATTATTAATGGAACTCAACAACTGAAAATTAGTGGTCTCTATCAGGCTTCTAGTCTCGGAGGAGTACCGTTAGGTTGCTTAAATTTGCAGCCAGTCTATAATGAGATTAGAC